TAAGAGTGTGAGAATTGATGGGGAAAGGGACACGTAATGAGTTCCAGAGTCACTTAGATGTGGAATTGAAAATATTTTCTTGTGTAAGAAGTTTAGAAATAGTTTTTCTATTTACATAATTGTTTTCCTCCTTTAAAAAATAATCTTGAGTTAATTCTGCCTAGGAACATAAAGTGAGATAAGATGAAGAGAAAATTTAGGTAGAAATTAATTTGTCTTAAGTTGAAGACAAATAAAAGTCTTTTTTTTACACATCTATAGGCTATAAAATGCCCTTTTAAAAAACAGACATAACTGGCATGTAACATTACATTAGTTTCGGGCATACACCTTAATAATTCTACATGTTCTATATATACAATTTTTTAAAAAGATTTTATTTTTTTATTTGTCAGAGAGAGAGAGAGAGCACAAGCAGGGGAGCAGGAGAAGAGCAGGCAGAGGGAGAAGCAGGCTCCCCACTGAGCAAGGAGCCAGATGCAGAACTTGATCCTAGGACCCTGGGATCATGACCTGAGCACAATGCAGCCAGTTAACCTGCTGAGCCACCCAAGAGCCCCGTAGGATTTTTTATATATATACTTAGAGAGAGAGAGAGAGAGAGAGAGAGAGAGAAAGAAATGATTGTGACAATCACTCCATCCATTCACCACAAATACTTATAATTTTTTTTCTTGTAAGCAGAACTTTTAAGATTTACTCTCTTAGTATCTTTCAAATATATAACACAGTATGATTGACTGTAGTTACCATGCTGTGCATTATATTCCCAGGAGTTATTTATTTTACAACTTAAAGTTTGCACTTTTTGTTCACTTTCACCCATTTCACCCACCTCCCACCTCTGGCAACCACTAGTCTGTTCTCTGAATCTCTAAGTTCATTTTTTTGTTTCTGTTTTTATAGATTCTACATATAAATGAGATCATATGGTATTTGTCTTGGTCTGACTTATTTCATTGAACTAATATCCTCAAGGTCCATCCATGTTGTCACAAATGACAGGACTTCCTTTTTTATACCTGAACGGTAATTCATTATATATATCTGTGCCACATTTTCTTTCTTTTTTTTTTAAATATGATTTTTTTTAAGATTTTATTTATTTATTGGACAGACAGAGATCACAAGCAGGCAGAGAGGCAGGCAGAGAGAGAGGTGGAGGCAGGCTCCCTGCCAAGCAGAGAGCCCGATGCGGGGCTCCATCCCAGGACCCTGGGATCATGACCTGAGCTGAAGGCAGAGGGTTAACCCACTGAGCCACCCAGGCACCCCTGTGCCACATTTTCTTTATTCATTCATCCATCTATGAATACTTCAGTTGTTTCGATGTCTTTGCTAACGTATACAGTGCTGCATTGATCATGAGTTGCAGTTATCTTTTGGATATATGCTAATATCATTGTATATTAGCACATATTATATTCTATATAATAAATATTTCATTCATTTGCATGTGATAACAATATTATCATGGACAGGTACCTAGCATTTCAGATGTAAAAAATAAACACTCCAAATGTTTCTGAAGCCCACACAAACTATCTCTGATTGACTTTTTTCTTTCTAGGACCTAGTAGGCTACAATGACAAATCCAAAATCACTTCTTTGATTTTAACATTTTTATGTTTGCGATTTCTTCATGATGTTTTATAAGCAGTATTCCTTGCATTTTCACTGTTATCTGTATGGACTTTATTTATCCATCCATATTTCTGATGGACTCAGATCCATAAGATTTTTGTAACTTTTTTCTCTTCCATTAGCAATCCTTTCTGGTCTACATTCAGGACCGAGTCTAGTCTGGTCCAAGCTATCATCATCTTTATTATGATGACCTCCTTATTGGTCATTACCCTTTCTTTGGTTTCTGAGTCAGCACCATGACCCAGGCGGATTTTTGTAAAATTTAAGTCAGAATCTTTTGCACCCATCTTTGAAATCCTCCAGTGGCTGCCAAATCATCTCAAGTACAGGTCAGAGTCATTGTAAACATTTATAAATCTCTATGTGACCCCTCTCCCTGCCCTGCTATCTCTTTGGAGTCAATTTTTTCTCCTCCCTCAACTCCAGCTAAACTGGCCTCTTTGCTTTTCCTTAGCTATATCAGTCATTCCTCTGCCTCAGGAAAATGCTTGTGGCTGCTTCTGCCTGGACCACTATTCTCCTGGGTACCCATGTGGTTGCCATTCCATAACTCTTGAAGATTTTTACTCAATGTCAACCTCTCAGTGATGCTTTCCTCAACTATACCATTTATATTCCATTTCTCCTAGAATGACCCAAAAGTCATTTTTCTCTCTAATTTTTCTCCCAGTCTCTTATCACTTCTAACACATAACACAGTTGGCTTCTTTTGTTTATCAGCTTTTTGTTTGTCAGTCTTCCTTCACTAGAGGCTCCAAACAAGAAAACATTTTTGTCTTGTGTGTTAACTGCCATAACTTTTAATTCTAGAACTGTCCCTGACACAGCCTAAGTGCTCGATGAATATTTCATGTAGGGATTAATAAGTGGGAACTGGACATAGCTATTAGTATTAAATGACATTACTATGTTCACACATTTCTCAAACAATTAACATGAGCTAAAAAGGAGAAAATTTGGGGTATTTACAATTAGCAGAAACCTAGAGATTCTTGCTTACCTATCTGGGATATTTGAAGAGAGCATAAAGAGGTCTTCTGGGGGTAGAAGCATAAAATAGCATGAGAACAATCAAATGATTTAGGAAAATCCATCTGAAATGTCTTTGTCTAACCCTCCTTTTCTGTTCCCTTCCAAGTTACAACATTGTATTTCCATCTCAGCCCCTGGACTTAGATTTATGATTTTCTTTAATAGCTTTTAGGACCCTTGTGTGACACGGATTTGACTCCATGCTACCTTTTGGACGAATTACTGGCACCTTCTCTTACATTTCCAGCACTTTAAAAGGATTCTATCTATGCCAAGTATCGTCTTGCCAAGTAGACTATGGAGCATAACAAAGATAATTTTATTTTTGTTTGCCAGAGGGAATGTTTTCTCCACCAGGAAAAATTACTCTTAGGAAGCAGTAGTTAGGTATAGGCAGATGCAGTCAATGGTCAGAAGTGGTCTGCTTTATTTTATTTTCCTATTTCCAAAAACATATTAACATTAAAGAAAAAAGAGTAAAGGTTTTAAGAGCATTAGTGTAGGTTGACTAGACATGTTGAAATTGGCTCCAAAATTTAGCAATGAGGAAGGTGTAACAGCAAAATAGTGGAAGCTAACATTTACTGAGTGATTACTATGATCCCAACATCTGCTGAGTGATTTGTTTGTATTACTTCAATTTATCTAACCCATTGAGGCTGGGGCTATTTTTCACAGAAGAGATAGAGAATCACTCAGAGGTTACTGAACAACCCAAGATTGCAGGATTAGGGTTCAGATCAGGTGATCAGTCTTCAGGGTCCGAGCTCTTGACTCTTTTTTTTTTTTTTTAAGGTTTTATTTATTTATTTCAGAGATAGAGGGAAGAGCACACACATGTGAGTTGGGGGAGGGGAAGTGGGAGAGGGAGAGAATCTCAAGCAAACTGCGCCCCAACCCCCAGCACAGAACTTGAGGCGGGGCTCAAGGCAGGGCTCAAGATCATGACCAAGGCTGAAATCAAAAGTTGAATGTTCAGCTGAGCCACCCAGGCATCCCATGGGCTCTTGACTCTTAATTGACTCTAAAGCACAATTAAGAAACAATGAAGTAAAGTGAAGCATACCTGGAAAATATATGATTTTTTTAAACTTACTGACTCTGAAAATATTAATGTATTATCTCTAATAATTCTTGAGATAAAACTCAGATTTTATTTTATTTTATTTTATTTTTTAGAAGATTTTTATTTATTTATTGAACAGAGATCACAAGTAGGCAGAGAGTCCGGCAGAGAGAGAGGAAGGGAAGCAGGCTCCCTGTGAGCAGAGAGCCCGATGTGGGGCTTGATCCCAGGACCCTGAGATCATGATCTGAGCTGAAGGCAGAGGCTTTAACCTACTGAGCCACCCAGGTCCCCTTAAAACTCAGATTTTAAAATGTTTTTTTCAACCCTAAATATCTTAGATATGGTTTGTTATCTGCTTTTATGCATTCAGAATATATAGACATTAGATGAAATATTTTGATATTTATATTTATATATGCCTTCTTAAAGTGCATTTCTTGTATTTATAGACTACATAAATTTATTCAGAAAAAGTGAAATTTACTATAAAAAATGGGAAAGAAGAACTCTTGTATATTCACAATATGTTTTTCATAGGTTGACTTTTTTATTTATATCCAAGGCCACTGAGCAGAACATTCTAGAAAATACAAACTATACTTTCCGTGATAACTTAGGTTGTATGAAAAAATACTTTGGGGGATCTCTTTGAAGACCCTTTTATCATGCAGAAATATTTTTTCTTAACTGCTACACAATTGGAAACAACTCATTGCTATGATATGGATGGAAATTAAGAGTTTATTTTCTGTGGAATCCAATTAATAAGTTGACATTGTACACTTCTAATTATAAATACAAAGCAAAATCTGGTTACCTGGTTACCTACCAGGGCCAAACAAGTATTATAAATGAGATGAAGTGGGCCATATTATTTAGACTATAAAACAAGTGTAAAAACAGGATGTGCATGACAGGATATACATAAACAGAAATTAAAATGAAATGCTATATCTTATTGCCACATAGTCAGGATAAATGCTTCCATTAACTGGATTGTGAAGAACTACTTTCTAGAAATCTGCCGTCTTTCAAACTTACATATTGTGTTAGTTTCAAAATTTGTGGTAACTCTTTGTGAGTGTTTGTAAATAATATCATCATTTAGAGCATCACACATAGACTTCTTTAAACTGTGCTTACCAGTTCCTCCTGTAGGGAAACCAGATTAGGTGTGAAAACTGTCTTTTTAACCACATTCACTGTGTCTTGCTCTTTGTGTATGTGTATGTGTGTGTGCTTTTGTTGCAGAGAAGGCCAGCAATCCCCAGAGCAGTGGCAGAAGATATATGGTAGATGCTCTGGCAATGAAGTATACCACATTGTTTTGGAAGAAAGTACATTTTTTGCTGAATATGAAGGGAAGAGTTTTACATATGCATCTTTTCATGCACACAAAAAGTACGTTTCTGCTTCCAAAGAGGACTTAAAATATAAATCAAGCATACCCTTTAAATACAGTTTTCTAAAATACAGCCCATATTGGTGTTCATGAGTTGCAAGAGTTCTGGAATTTTTAACGTAATTATTGAGACATTTGAACTCTGGTTCTGTATGGTCTCTACAAGTTAAGAGTGTTAGGTATAAAGTATAATTTAATAGAAATATTGGCTTTAGTAACTTTTAAGTCATCTTTAAAATATTTTAATCCATGAAGAATTCACAAATACATAAAAATGAATCTTCTTTAGAGATCTGATTTTAAAGTGTTGATTAAAAATGTAAAAAAAAGTAAAAATGTAAAAATGTCATAATAACATTTATAAAATCTAGACATTTAAAAAAATTTGCTTTGATCAGAGAAATAACTTAAAAAGTAAACAATGGTACCTTCTAATTCAAACATGGAACAAAATATTTTTTCTTTTTGAGAAAAATTATTTTCTAAAGAAACAAAAATATATGTTTAAAATGAAAGTAATATATTATCAGTATTGTAAATATATTGATATAATATTTTAAGGTTTGTATATGTCTAGTATTTTCTACTAATCTAATATTTAATATATCCCACTTTAATTCTCAGCATGATTCTTTCTGTACATATATTTTGATGTTTAAAAAATATTTTTAAACTAGATTTATTTCTAATGCTATAAGACATATTGAAATAAAAACATTCACGACATTTTGTGTTCGGAGAATAACCTGAAAAAGTATAAAATAAATTTTTAATATCTATTATATTTAGTGGTTGATATTTCTCCCAATTAAGCTGTGCACCTATTCAGACTATTAATTTTTTTTCTAAAATTAAGAGTAAACCAAATATGGTAGAAACAGAACTAAAAGAAATTTAGGTACCCTGATTTTTTTCTCATATGACCTTGGATAAGTTTCTTCTTCTTTTAGGCCAATGACTTTTAAGCATTTTTGACTAAAGTAATACAGGTTTATATTTTTTGACCAAGTGAAAATATACATTCATGGTAAGACTCAATACACACACAGTTTATTAAAAATTCTTACCCTTAAACTAATGATAAACACTCTGATATTTTTCATTATCTTTTTTCTATTCTTCTTTATTTAAAAACAACTATATAGGTCATAATCAATTAAATTGATTTTACCACACACTAAGGATATAGTTTCTTTTCCTGGAAAAACAGGAAAGTTTTGAGTGTTGAGGGTCTTTTTTTTTTTTTTTCTTTTTGTCTTCAGAGCCTGGAGTCTTAAACTTTCACGATCTTTGCAAGCTTTAAATACTTTGATTTGGGGTTTTAATTTTCCTCTGCCTTATAATAGTTTACCAATTTTCTTACACATGCAAACTTAAAAACAAACAAAAAACGTAAGAGCTTTGCTGAATCACAGTTCTTAAGATTTATTTATTTATTTTTTAATTAAGGTTTGGTGTCTGCTTGATTGGTGTTCGGAGGGAGGATAATAAAAACATTTTGCTGAATCCAGGTCCTCGATATATTATGAATGCTACAGATATATGTTTTTATATTAATATTACCAAAGAAGAGAATTCAGCATTTAAAAACCAAGACCAGCAGAAAAAAAGCAATGTACCAAGGTCATTTTATCATGGACCTTCTCGATTACCTGTACATAGCATAATTGCCAGCATGGGTAAGTATAAATAAATTTGAATATATCACTAGTTTCTTCCTCTCTTTCTTTCTTTCTTCCCTCCCTTACTTTCTTTCTCTCTCTCCCTTCTTCCTTCTTTCCCTCCCTCCCTCCCTCCCTCTCTCTTTTTCTTTCTTTTTATTTTATTTATTTATTTATTTATTTGAGAGACAGCAAAAGCAAGAGAGACCAACCACAGAGGGAGAGAGAGAAGCAAACACCCTGCTGAGTGGAGAACCTTATACAGAGCTCAGTCGTAGGACCCTAAGGTCATGACCTGAGCCGAAGGTAGATGCTTAACGTACTGAGTCACGCAGGCGCCTTAGTTTCTTTCTTTAAAAGGAATAATAAATATCCTTCAATGTTTGTTAAAATTTCAAAGTCAAACTAGACACTAATTGTATATATTATAAACTTGGTATAACTAAGTATCTAGAAAAAAGTTTCCAAGCTGTTAAACTGGTAAGAAATTAAACTAATTTAGGATGCCTGAGTGGCTCAGTCTGTTAAGTGTCTGCTTTTGGCTCGGGTCATGATCCTGGGATCAAGTCCCAGATCAGACTTCTTGCTAAGCAGAGAATCTTCTCCCTCTGCTTGCCACTCCCCCTGCTTGTGCTCTCTTTCTTACTCTCCCTGTCTCCGTGACAAATAAATAAATAAAATTTAAAAAAAAATTAAGCTAATTCAAAATTGTCAATAATTATTTCATATTTCTGATTAGAATATAAGCACCTGACACTTTTATAGTTCTTTTGTAAGTTCTCTATCCAGTTATCAACAGAGGCTATTTCAAATATTCTTTGTTTTTCTCAAAACTCTTCTTCTATTGTCCATCTCATTCTCACCATTGAACTTGGCTTTTATGATACAGAAGTTAAATAAAAAAAAAAAAGTGGGGGGAGGAATAGATCCAGACAAATAAAAATTTCCTTTAAATTTTGCCACCAAACCACCTACAAACCTACAAACATTCATTTTTGTCACAAAGATAATGTGTCTTTTAACTTTTAACTTTTAATATTTTTAAAGATTTTATTTATTTATTTATTTATTTTAGAAAGAGAGCTTCAAGTGGGGGAAGGAGCAAAGCAGGAGGAAAAGGGAGGAGGACAGAATCTCAAGCAGACTCTATGCTGAGTGCAGAGCCCCACATAGGGCTCCATCTCATAACCCTGAGATCATGACCTGAGCCAAAAGCAAGAGTTGGACACTTAATTGACTGAGCCACCTAGGTGCCCCAACTTTTAATATTTTAATAGTAACGACTTTCCTTACTACCTTCTCCGGGACCTCACTTTTTATTTTAATTCATCTTTATTACCTAATTTTATTTTTTCTCAAAATCATTGGTTCTTTTCTCCTCCCTTTGTCTGTCTGTCTCTGTGTGTCTCTCTTTTTTATTTCTACACACACACACACACACACACATACACCTGGACCTCTTGGCTTGACATCTTCACAGGTAAATTCCTGGAAAGGGTTGTCTTCGGTTGCTGTCTTGAAATCTTATTGTCCCCTCATGCCTTTGCCCAGTTTAGTCTGAAATCTGTAGTCCTTGTATCACTACTCTGGCAAAGTCACCACTCTGTCACTAAATCCAGTGGACATCTTCACAACATGGGATGGTATTGACCATGTTCTTCTGCTCCCAGAGATTGATTTGCCCTCCAAAAATTGATGATTCTTTTATATAAATCATTAACTTAAATTTCTCTTCACAGCAGTATATTGGTTATTTATTTCTGCCGGGATGTCTCACAGGAAAAACCAACACACCATATTCATATTGAAGTTATCTGTCTGCCCTCATTCAAAATTACTTCCTCCTCCATTTTTTGGCTAAAAAAACAGATGACACATCATAATTTGTAAAGTCACAATCCTGACAATTCTGTTCCTCTCCTCTCATATCTCAGAATTCATAAATTCTATTAATTCAGATTATCAAGTATTCCTGAAAGTCATTCCCTTCTTTCTCCCCACTGTCTGTGTGATCATGGTCTGAATCTCCATCATTCTTCCCCTCAACTGTAGGATCACGCCCCTACCCCCCAAGCTTCTCTCCATGCCTCCATGCGGTCCTGCATTCTTCTCCACCTTGCAACCAGAGTTATAATTTTTACATAATTTTGATAGTGTCATTCTCCTGCATAAATAATTTGAATTGCTGGGGTGCCTGGGTGGCTCATTGGTTAAGTATTAGACTCTTGATTTCAGCTCAAGTCATGATTTCAAGGTTGTGAGGTCAAGCCCCACATTGGGTTAGTGAGGAATCTGTTTGAGATTCTCTTCCTCTCTCTCTCTCTCTCTCTGTACCCTTGCACTACATATGTGTATTCTCTTTATCTGTCTCTAAAATAAATAAATCTAAAAAAGAATAAATAAATCATTTGAATTGCTTATTATCCAAGGGAAAAAATCTAAATTTTATATTACATGGCTTATAATTTGGATAACCAAAACTTCTTGTTTGCATGAGGCACTCCCAGTTATTCCAGGACAGTCCCAGTTTATATATGTTGTCCTGGTGTCATTATTGAAGACCACACCCTTTGACTCTTAAGAGTATTCTAGTTCAGGGCTGTCTGGGCGGCTCAGTTGGTAAGCATCTGCTTTTGGCTCAGGTCATGATCCCAGGGTCCTGGGATTGAGTCCTGCATCAGGCTCTCTGCTTGGCAGGAAGTCTGCTTCCCCTTCTCCCACGCCCCTGCTTGTGTTCCCTCCCTCTCTGTCTCTCTCTGTCAAATAAATAAAATCTTAAAAAAAAAAAGCATCCTAGTTTAGAAGATAAATCGCAGTCACTTTACTTAAAGTTCTTTTTTTTTTTAATAATTCCACTTCAGTTTTCTAGTCTTGTATTTTACTGTCCCTTCAATCGCATTACTAAGTCCCATTCGTACTAAATTCCTTTCAGCCTTCACTAATTGTTTTTCACTAGTAGACCTCAACACAAGAAGTTTCTTCTGACAGAATCTACTCCCTAGCCCCCAATTTTGCCTAGGTAACTTCTTCTAATCCTTTGTGCCTCAGTCTCAGTATCATTCTTTCTGAGACATATTCCATGGCCCTGCTTGGACTGCAGATAGAACCACAGTGTTCTATATCGGTAATGGGGGTATAATTAATTGCCTCATAATATTCAGATATAGATTAATTGAGATAATGGAGAAGTGCTTAGGACACTGCTTTGTGTTGAGTAAACATTCAATGAGTAATAATTACTAGGAGTTATTGTACTAGTAGTAGTAGTAGTAGTGGCAGTGATAACACCATTTAAATACTCCCAATATCTTTCATATAATAGATGTTCAGTTAATGTTGATGTTAATGTTGAATTGAAAAAATAATATGCTAGGTCAGTAACAAACAGGGTCACTTAATGGACTGTGTTAGGTGACCCTGTTTGTTATTGACCTAGCATATTATTTTTTATAGTAGTCCTACTGATTTTTTCCCATTATTAACCTTTACTCACAGTACCTAATATGTGCCAGACACTTATAAGTTTCTATGATAAATTAATGAACAAATAAATAAAGATCCCTAGCTCACAGATCTTACGTTCTATCACAGGGGAGACTGCCAATAAACAACACAGAAAAAAATAAGGAAATAATTTAGTGTGTTAGAAGCTAAAGTCTTTAAAGAAGTGATCAAGTTAAAATGAGGTCATTAGAATGGGCTCTAATCCACTATGACTGGTGTCCTTATAAGAAGAGGAAATTAAGACACAGAGACACATCCAAGGAAGACAATGAGAGGAGACATAGGCAAGAGATGACCATAACCAGCCAAGGAGTGAGGCCTAGAACAGACTGTTCCCTCACAGCCCTCAAGAAACCAATCCTGCCAACGCATGGATTTTAGACTTCCAGACTCTAAAACTGTGAGGCAATAAATTTCTGTTGTTTAAGCCACCCAATCTGTGGGACTTTGTTATGACAGTCCTGACAGACTAATGCAAATAGTATTGGAGAAACTGACTAGAAACATTAGGAAATAAGTAGAATGACATAGGTTTAGTCACCAAACAAAACAGTGAAAGATAGTGGTGATAGAATCTGAAGATATGGGAAAAAGCTGGGATTTTAGAAGGGATAAAAGAAGAGTCTAAAAGAGACGGTGACCACACTGAGGGTATTTACCCATCACCTTTATAAAGGGTTGAGGGAAGAGTCAGGTTTGTTAAGGAAAGGAAATGTTCAAAGAGCTTGTTTCTGTAATTGTGACTACTTTTTGAATCGTGTTTTCCCTGCTAGATTCTTCCTCATGATCATAGCCCCATGCACAGCTTGGGGCCAGGTATCTGCTTTGGCAAAATAATCAGGAAGTGACCACATTTCCCTGTGTTGGGCAGAAAATGATAAAGAGGTAGTTGGGAGTCATATGGAGTCACATATATTTGGAGAGTGGGGTTAAAAGATCACAATTTCTTAGGAAGCCAGAAGGGATTTAATTCCCAAAACATGAGTAAGGATTAACTTCACATAAATGGAAGTATTTCTGTTTCCTTCTAAGCAGAAATAAAGGAACAAAAGTTTGGTGAAACTCTCATGTTTGTTTGAAGTCAGGAAATTGAAGGATTTCTTCTATGATAAGTTCTGTTTTCTTTCTGAACTCAACAGTGTGGTCATGTGCAGAGGATAAATATACATGTGAATTTTAACTTAAAGCCTTAGGATGTAAATAATGGCTTATTTTTGTAAATCAAATTTGTAAAATTTAATTTTTAATCAATTCCACATACCTACTAAATAGAAAATTTAATCTTATTTTCTCTAGGAGCCTCATTCAGCTCTTGCCCAAAGATTGAATTATAAATTAATCCTTATTTATGGTGTTCAAAAATTGGTTGACCATAGAGTTTCTGATGGCAACAATCTTTACCTTTGCTCTAATATTGAAATTGCTAATGCTGGCCCCCACATCCTTTTCTCAGAAAGAGCTGTTCTGGGAATGTTCATATATACCTGTCACATGAAGGCTTTCACACGAACTACAGATACACTAGGGTTCCTCACCTACTAATCCGAGTTTTGTGTATATGGAGAGGTACAACTCTCTGAAACTTAACCCCCCAAATTTATTCAGTTTTGAGGAATACTCAGATATTCTCATCAGACTTGTGCTACCAACTCTCACCCTCAAAACATTTCCTGTTTATCCCTCCTTATGTGGAGACTTCTGATTGCCTCAGAGGTTTTAAAAATCAGTTGCTAACCTCTCTTTCATTGGTGCAAGGAAAGAGAGGCCAAAATCCATTAGTTTTATTCCCACTTTAAAAACTTCTGCTATAATAGTAAAGGAGGTGGCAAGGTCAGAGGTTTGAGAGAAGTGGCTAGTGTTTTAATAGTTGCTTCAAAAGGGACAAAGTGAGGTCTAAGGGGTTTTAGAAGGATGACCAGGTATTAGTGCATAAATGAAGTGAGTGTTGCAGAAACATGATGGCACTCATCAGTTAGACTGTATTATTTTCTTCAGAAGGGGAGACATAAGCTTTCCATAAATTGATGTTTAAATTAATTTTGAAATTCCAGTTAAAAAATCCCAAAGGAATTTGTTTCTTCTGTTTACTGGGGACTACCCCCCAGTATTCAAAAGCCTTAAGCTATTTAAGTTTGCTGTTGCTACTGCCTCAAAGTACTTCCACAGCTTGAGTACTCACTATTGTCTTTTGAGTAAAAAATCAAAGGTCATAACTTCAGAGTTGCCTTCCAGACCACCTAGTGAAAATTCATTCCTCCTCCTGTTCTTCATCACATTATTTTGTTTTATTTTCTGCATGGTATTTATTACTATCTAAAATGACTGTTTTCATTTATTTGTCTACTTGGTTATTTTAAAGATAAGTGCTTATGTGTAGAAGCATTATTTCGTTCCCTCATCCCCCACATATCCCAAGTGCCTAGGATAGTGTTTTTCATGCAGTACATAATAAATATTTGTGGAATAAATATAAAATATTAATGGTTCTAATATTTTAAAAAAGTGATTACAAATCAGCAAGAGAATAATAACAAAATGGGGGGGGAAAGGATATAATGAGAAATCCACTATATTGAAAAGGCCAAAATTTTATGTGTTAATTTTAAATAAATGTACATTGAAACAAAGTATTTTTTTCACTTTAAATTCCTAAGTATTTCAGGGTTTCATAAGTATTGTGTTTTGTGCAATAAGCTAGACTCAGCAAACACATTTTGCACAAATGCAGAATTTTTTTAATCCATGTAGGTAAAAATGTCCACATGGAGAAGAAATAACCTTGTAGATATAAAGGGTAAACAATACAGATTTCCCAGTTACGCTGGTTGTATTTCATTTTGATCATTAAATGGTTGATTATCATCTAGGTGGCAAATACTCTGATGGATTTTTATGTTTCTTTGTTGCAGGTACTGTGGCTATAGACTTGCAAGACACAAGCTGTAGATCAACAAGTGGCCCCACCCTGTCTCTTCCTACAGAGGGAAGCAAAGAAATCAGAAGACCTAGCATTGCTCCCGTTTTAGAGGTTGCAGATACGTCATCAATTCAAACATGTGATCTTCTAAGTGATCAATCAGAAGATGAAACTACAGCAGATGAAGAAACTTCCTCAAACTTAGAGTATGTTTAGATATTCTAGAACAGTTGTAAGATTTACTGGGATTTATGCTACTCTGGGGCACTAATGTCCTTACCTTTTATATATCCGAGAATCAATTCCACATACTTCTAACAAAACACCCTTCCTATTAGCCACTATCTCCATTACCTATAAAGTATTTTAAGACCTCAAATTTTGGGTTTCAACATGTATTTCCAGGATCAGTGTTCTCTAAATTATCTTTTATCCTTAAAGAAAACACATCAATCAGTATTTTCATGATATAAGATGCATTTTCATGATTGCATGTTTTTGTTAATTATATTGTACTTCCTACTTTTAATTTATTTCCTTCCATGTCCATATTAAAGATCAGTCAATTATTCAGTGACATGTAGTGCAGGTTTCCTCCATTAAATTTCCCTTCCTTATCTTACCGTGCGTAGGTATTTTTCATGTGGTATACATCAGTAATATTTTGAATGAATGAATGCATGAAGTACTAGTTCTCTTTACTATTCTTCCATAATACATATTGCCGGTGTATATGCTATTAATCACATTTTAATCTTCAGTAGGATTTGTTTACTTGTCTTGCTCACATAATATATTGCTATTTCTTGAGGGAAACACAGGGGTCAGCAGTCTTGACAATGGAGTCTAAAAGAGTTTGTTTTCCATGTAAGTTCCATCCTATACTGGTTATGTGCAAGTGACTGATTAAACAGTCTGAACCACAGTGTCTATATCTGTAAGGGGGTATAATTACTGACTCATAATGTTCAGATGTAGATTAATTGAGATAATGGAGAAGTGCTTAGGACATTTCTTTGTGTTGAGTAAGCATTCAATGAGTAATAATTACTAGGGGCTGTAGTAGTAGTAGTAGTAGTAATAGTAGTGGCAGTGGTAACACCATTTAAATACTCCCAATATCTTTCATATAATAGATGTTCAGTTAATGTTGATGTTAGTGTTGAATTGAATAAAATGAATTGAAATATAATTGAAACTTAAAAAAAATCTTCATTTAATCCTTCACACCTAAAAAAAAAATTATTACAAGGAAGTTTAATGTTCCCACAGAACACAATCCACTCTCCAGAAAATCAATAGCACTCAAATATATTTATGAAATATTTGATGGGAACAAGGAGAGTTTTGACTGCCAGTATATTTCTAGAAATGATGTGTGGTGTGATTGAAATTCTTTCTTTACATGTCCTTCTGAAAAGATTAAGAGGTGGATTTTTTTTTTTTTTCCTAAGCAAACTGAAAAAGATATTGAAATAATAGTGGAGCTTATCAACTTCTAAATTTGCAAAATGTGCACCATTTTACCCTCCGAGCTAATAATGTCTGGAAAACAGTTTAAACTAGGCCTGAAATTTCTTGGTTTAAAAGAGAAGAGTTTTCATAGTAGATAAAGGAATCTTGCCTCTACCAAATTATGTTTTATTTCTTAACTTTCATTTATTCTTCTACTTTTTAATAGTTTTATTCTGAAAATTAATATAGTTGTAATGTGCATGCAGGTGGCTACTTTTGTAAAGTCAGCAAATAATTATCTTTGATAATATTTTAAGCATGATTCCAACAATAGTCTGTTTTGGGGGAGTATATGAATATTTAACTCAGTTGTTTACTCCTTTGTGGTTATGTATTCATGACTAATGAATATTAATGGAGTAAATCATAATAAGTCATTTTGCTTTAAGTGTGTTTTATAAAAATTAATAGTGCAATTTAAAAAATCTATCTAAATCTTTTAAACCAAGGAATGGCAAACTTTTTCTAGAAGGAACCAGCTAATACTTTAGACTTTATGGACCATATAATCTTTGCTGCACCAATCCAAATATTTTTGAAGTGGCCATAGACAATACATAAAGTGAATGAACATGGCTGTATTCTAAAAAACTTCACTTGTGGATATTTAAATTTTAATTTCATGTAATTTTTATGTGACATGAAATATTCTTCTTTTTTATTTTTTCCAACCATTTACTTAAAAATATTTTTCCAAACATTTAAGATTAAAAAAGAACAAACAAAACAAAACAAAACAAAAAAACCTTTTAATTCGCAAAACCAGCTGGTGGGCCAGATTTGATCCAGTTTGCTTATCCCTATTCTTAACTATTTCTTTATCAAAATGTAATTACAATATAAAGGGTTGCACCATACTTTATCAAAATAGAGACACATGGCTATCACTTAATTATCCAACTATGTGTGTTTTCTTCAAGGCAACTCAAATATTTCATATTGTTTTACAGATATGCTAAAGGCTATCCACCTTACTCTCCATATATAGGAAGTTCACCCACTTTTTGTCATCTCCTTCATGAAAAAGTGCCATTTTGCTGCTTAAGACTAGACAAGGTAAGCAATTGTTATTTTCTCTGAAACTGAAATTATGGCATTTTGTAATTATGTATATTTAAATAATTTTGTATAGTCTTTTGACTAAAATATCTTTAAAGAACATTATCTTTTCGGATGTAAATGCAATACATAAAATGGTGAATTGTACTTTCTTAACTGTACTAAAGATTACCCAAATGCTTTCCCCTTCTACTTAAGTAGCAGAGGAGTCAGTCAGTCATGTTTTTAAAGAGGAAAACGTAGGTGCCAGAACCTCAAACCTATGAACTCTCAACATCCAGAGTCTTTCAAAATCACTTTGGCCCATTGTGCACTGTTTTGCAAGGCTTTTTTTTTTGCTTCAAAACTTAATGTGGAATTGCTTGGCATGGTGAAATGAGCTTGTCTATGTGTTAGCCGGAAAGATTCATTATTGACTAGACTGAAAGCTAGTGTCTGTTTTGTGGTTATTATCTCCTTTTCTAAAGATTTTATTGTAGCTCTTGATTTTTGCTTGGATGTTCTAAAGGAGCCATTCAAAACAGAAAGATTACAAGAATGCAGACATTTTAAAATCTCTTTCCCAAGATGGCTATTGGGCATGACCTCTATAAGAGTTTGTTCTCTTAATGAATAAGAAAGCAGATAAGAAGAAGATTCTCAAACCCTTTACCTCCCAGAAATTAAAATGTGCTGCTAATTCTAACCAGGAATTTATTCTTTTACTCTAAATTTTGGAGTTAACGAGAGTTAAAATCCCAGCTCTCTGCTTACAGGATTTGCATTTTGGGCAAATAACTTTGCCATTACATTTCAGTTTCCATATCTATAACATGGTTGTAATTACAAGCCTCGATGGTTTTTGTGAGAATTCTATAAATTAGCACAACCAAAATGCTTCACACAGTGCCAGGAAGTTAATAAATGTGTAGGCACCTAATACATTCTATTAGTATTCTTGCTACTACTACTTTTTAATAAGATAAACATCATGAAGCCTGGCTGTTACTGTCACTCTTGAGGAAGAATAGTGGAACATTAGAAAATCTTTGCCATTGCTCCTAAATATTCCTCTGTGTCCATTAAGATGTCGCTCTCTCAATATCTCAATGCCTTTTTTTTGGGGGGGGGGGTCCCTTGTTTTAACGTACTGTCTGAAGTATTTGATTATGCTGACTAGCTGTATAGTTTTGGTAACATTAGTAAATCTTAAGCTTCAGGACCCCTTTACCCGTATTAGCCCTTTCTAAGGACCTATGAATAATTTTTAAAATTTATAAATTTGTAATATTTGTGTTATTTTCCTTAAAGAGGATTCCCCATGTAACATAAGCCTCAGGCACCACAAAACCTGGATTAGCATTTTTAAAAATTTTTTATTTATTTATGGAGTGGGGGTGGGGAGAGAGAGAGAGAGCAGGAGCAGGGGGAGAAGCATGCTCCCCTCTGAGCAGAGAGCCTAATGTGGGACTTGATTCCAGGACCCTGGGATCATGACCTGAGGCAAAGGCAGCTGCTTAACAGACTGAGCTACTCAGGTGTCTCTGCATTTTACTTTTTAACTCAGAATTCAGGAGAAAAATCACACTGGGAGATCAAAGATTTGAAAATGACTTATCTCCAAGCAGGGAACCTGATACAATTGAAAAGCTAAACTTTCTGAGATAAGGCTTGGCAAAGAAACAATAGAGGGTCTTTTAAAGCAAAGACTCTGAGTGGTCTCTTTACCATATTAAGAAGACAAAATTTCTGAATATTGTTGACTGGCAGATGACCTCTGGTATTATCCTCTATTTATCTAGCATTAGGCTGGCTGGAGGTGCTGGTCTGTTATCTATATGAATGCCTACTTTGCAATCAGGAGATGGGATTATACAGTCAATCCTACTGCATCTGTGAAGTGTGGGAACTGGGATTACTTGCCCAGTTCATTCTGCAACAGTATCAACAAATAGGTTCCTGATCAAGGTTCATCAACAAGGATGTCCCTATTTTCTTGTTTTGTTTTTTTCTTTCTAATTGAGCTACTTCTGAATAACCTAAATTAATTGTTTTTCTTCATTTTATCTCATAAATATTGAAATTCTTAATATCTCAACATCACTCATCACTCTTCTCTGTCCATGACCTCTTTGTGAATGACCTTATTCACTCCTTCATGTGGTTGCAGATCCTACTTATATTAGTAAATCTTCAATCATACTTCCAATGAAGGCTTATTGTCTCCTTTTAAAAAAAAATCATGTCCCGTTTTCTTCATTCCTTTTTTATGTCTTAAACCTTCTGGATCCATTTTCCTACTGATTACAGCTTTTGAAATTCTCTTACTAAAGTCCTATTAGTGTTAAATTCTGCCAATTTCAGTTTTCCTAGAAATGTCCTTGTTCTTGAAAGACAGTTTTCCTGGGTGTCAATTCCAGGATGAGTTTTCTTTTTCTTTTCATACGTTAGAATTTTATTTTCTGCCTTTTGGGTTCCATGTTGCTATTGAACAGTTGGCTGTCATTCTAGTTTGTATTCTGAAAATTAATGGTGGTCTCTCTTTTCAGTCTGGCTCTCTAAGATCTGATTGTCTGGTTGTTTTGCACTTTTATTACCATACCTTTGAAGCTGGATTTTCTTTTTTTATTTATTTGAATTAGGATTTTCTGGAGTTCCAGAACCTGAGGTTTTGAATATTTCATTAATTCTAGAAAATCCTTAGTTAATATTTACTTGAATAGGTCTTCTTTCTGATACTTTAATCTCACTTTCAGGTTTTCTGCTTAAATATATGTTAGACATTGTCATACTAGCTTCCAAGTATCTTAATTTCTCCATATGACTTTATATCTCTTTTCTTAGCACATTCTGAGTAATTACATCAATGTCCTGCAAATGACTCCTTCACATGTGTCAAATGTGCAATCTAACCCATTGTTTGAGTTTTTATTTTTACTTGTTATACTTTTTAGTTCTAGAAGAGAATATGTGTATTTCTTTTAATATCTACCAAATATTTAAGTAGCCTCCTGTTCTTTGTTCATACTTTAAATGTTCTTTTTTATTTCTTTAAACATAGTAAACACATTCATTTTTTCTGTTCTGAATCTAATAAGAACAAAACCTGTAGTCTTTGTGAGTCTAATTCTATTGTTTATTGTTTCTGCTGACTCATGGTGCCTTCTTCCCAACAGCATTTTGTAGTTTTTTATTAAAGGAAAAAAGTAGAGAATATTCCAAAATTAGTGATGAATCCACGGGGAATCCACTAATCTCAACCCAAATAAAAAGAAACCCACACAGAGACATAGAAAGATAAAAGGGCAGAACATGAAAGCAGTTCTCCATGCAGATAATTTAGTTTAAAAGATTCTTGGTTTAATAATGCTAAGTCCAGTGAATACTAGGTCTCTAGAAAATAGTAAAATAACCTCAGAATAACAATGAGTTTTGATAATGTATTGTTACTGTTTTGTTGTTAGTATTAGTATTGGTATTTTACTTTTGTGTATTTCTATTATTATCTTGCCAGCTCAGGTATATGTTTAGACAATTAAGGGTTTTCTTTTTTTGTTTTTTAACAACAAAGAAAATCTTTCTTGGTATCCATCCCTTTAGATGTTCAGTACTTGGAAAGTTCCAAGGTCATTTGATGATAATATTATTATCTTTCTGGAAATCAAAGTCAGAGGTAGTTTTTTTCTAGCTTTCTTGAAGTATGACTGACAAAAATTGTGTATATTTAAAATATATAACACGATTTTTTGATATACATACACATTATGGTAATTTTTAAATATAGATACCCAGATGTCATCGAGCAATATGTTTTAGTTTACAGTAGAACATGTGCACACACATATTTCTGACTTTGTCTTCCCCCATATTAAGCTACACACTTGCAATTCATTTGTCTTGTCTATGCATACCTTCACTTCCTGAAATAGGCTGGAGAATGGGGCATGGAAAAATGTAACTATTTTCAAATTTGTTATAAAATAAAGGATTTACTAGGTTAGATTAATTTTACTCTTCCATATATCCTAAAATTTTTCAGCAAATTTTAGTGGAGTGTAAAAATAGCATTTCTTTGTATAATTTTTCTTCTCTAGAGTTGCCAGCATAACTACTATGAGGACGCAAAAGCCTATGGATTCAAAAATAAGCTAATTATAGTTGCAGCTGAAACAGCTGGAAATGGATTGTATAATTTTATTGTTCCTCTCAGGGCATATTATAGACCAAAGAAAGAACTTAATCCCATAGTACTGCTATTGGACAATCCGTAAGTATATTTTAAAATACCCACACAAGACAAAAAAATTTTAATATTAAATCAAAAATAATTTATTCTAATTTGCTTGGAATATTTTAAATCAGATACATTATGGCACATGATTCATTGGGAGATACATTTTGTGCTATGGTACAAAACAATCATTGAATATGGTTGTTTCACAAATACTACTTAAAACATCACTGGAACACTCTGAGCTTTTTATTTAAAACTATTTTGCAAGTGGTCATCACTCAATACCAATGGGAAACATGCCATTGAAATAATTACAGTTATTTTCCTTAAATTAATCAACTAGCCTGGAAAATTTCTGCCAAAACTGGACAATTTTTTGGTCTTTCTAAAGAACCGTTAATTATCAGCCAAGCATATTAATGATCCATTCTTATGTTATACTGTGATATATCATCATAACTTATTGTGATTCTTCCACTGTTAAAACATATATTCTATAACAAAATATGAATAATTAATGCTTTACCATGCTCATTTATTTTGAAAATGTTGGATTGATATACTCTTGTGAAATAAGACTACTTAAGCATTTAAAATTCCTCATGCAAATATAAATATAGGTCATGAATGCAGTGGTCAAACTCATTGTATCCTAAAATTATGATATTCCTCTCTGTGACTCAAAATTGGTAGCAGATGGTCCTTAGATCAATACCATATTTTGGGATCCTCCAACTCTCCTTTTAAATTCCAAAGTGATGCAAAATTTCAGGATAAGCTAAATGAGGCCAAAATCTGTTGCCTCATCTCTGCCTTTAAAATTTATCAAAAGAAGTTCTTGAAAACAAAAATATCTTCCCACTATAACTTCATATCATCATTTATACTGAATATACCAAGACACTTGATATATACCAAGAATATATGAAGACACTCATTGATGCATCTTTCTTAGCATCGTTATCACAATGATAACTCTAAAACCTGAGAACATTCTAGAGGTTTCAGCTGAAGCATTTTCAGATATGATGACTCAGTGACTTTCCTGATACCATTTTAGTGTCCAAGGAAAAGTCAGAAACTTGGATGCATTGTCAGAAAAAATAAAAGCTAATTAAACAAATCTTAGGAGGATGAAAGTTGGATTGCTGGATGGCTCTGACAATGGAGTGGTTGTGAAACACCTCCAAGGCCTTTGAAAGTATCCCTAGTAGTAGAACCATTCTGGCAGGAAGCTCAAAGGGACTGGCTAAAATGGCACACAAGGAGTGCTCAGTTCACCCTGTGTGGTGAATTCTAACGTGTCAGGTTTGGGCTCTTTTTCCTTATGGTGTGTCTGTTTCCTTAATGTAGAATTTAAGGCAGGGGCATTTACAAGTTCATTGCCTTAGAGCATCCCCATCTTGTATGTACTGGATCAGAGTGGATCCTCTGAGGCACCAGAATACAGAAAGGAAGTTAGGAAGAGGCTTGAAAAAGTAGAACCGTGCTTATAGCATCACTGTGGTAAAGCAAAGGGTAAAAGCTGACCTTTCCCCTGTTTTACATTGTTTCAAGGTAAGATTTCTTGTTCTAATGTGTGAATCTAGTTGGGTTCCTGGACCCAGTTTCAATGTGTGTATGTGTTGGTGGGTGGTTTCCCACATTCTCAACAAGCAACACTTGAGACACCAACTGGGAGTCCTACGGCTTAAGTTGATTCTGACAATACTACTGTCTAGGTTAAGGGTTCCACAGGCTAAGGGCTGTCCTACAAGATTGCCCACTTCCCTTCAGAACCAGTCACAAGCTTTAGCTTTTATCACCTCTGTTTCTGACTGACCAGCTATAGATTGGATGTTCCAGTGGCCCCATTCTTGACTTCAGATGCTACTCACAAGTCCAGGTTGTTTAGCTACATTACTTTTCTTTTCTTTTCTTTTCTTTTCTTTTCTTTTCTTTTCTTTTCTTTTCTTTTAAGATTTTATTTATTTATTTGACAGAGAGAAAGATCACAAGTAGGAAGAGAGGCAGGCAGAGAGAGAGGGGGAAGCAGGCTCCCTGCTGAGCAGAGAGCCTGATGCGGGGCTCAATCCCAGGACTCTGGGATCATGACCTGAGCCGAAGGCAGTGGCTTTAACCCACTGAGCCACCCAGGCGTCCCTGTTTAGCTACATTTCTGACTGACAGACTAGGAATCAGTGTTCCCCACTCAAGTCCCATTAATTCACTAGAACAGGTCACAGAACTCAAAGGAACATTTTACTTACCAGATTTCTGGTTTATTTAAAAGGATGTAACTCAAGAACCAGAAGGAGGAGATTCATAGGGCAAAGTATGGGGAAAGGGAATGGAATTTTCATGCTCTATCTTAGGGCAACACTCTTGCCAAATCTCCACACATTCATCAACCTAGAAGCTCCTTAAATTCCTTCCTTTGGGTATTTATGGACGGGTCATTATATAGACATAATTGGTTAAATCATTGGCCATTGGTGGTCAAACTCAAACTCCAACCTCTCTCTACTCCTCAGAAATCAGGGGATGGGACTAAGAGTTCCAACTCTCTGTTCATGATTGGTTCCCCTGGCAACAAGCCAGGGGTGCTTTCCAAAAGTCACCTCATTAATATCAACCCAGTTATGGTGGAAAGGGGCTTGTAGTGAATAACAAGACACTCATTTCACTTTTATGGCTCCAAAGTGATATCAGGAACGGAGGACAAGAGAACAAATATTTTAACAAATGATGCTCCCATTGCTCTTATCCTCAGAAAATTTCAAGCATTTTGGGAGCTGTGATCCAAGAACCGTGGATGATATGAATGCCCAAATATAGATGTCTTATAGATCACAATATTGCACCTCCCAAAATAATCCAATCTCCAAATTTTGGAGTGGTGTTCACTCCATGGAATGGAGATAGGCTCTTCTCTTTTTTAAATATCTAGTCTTATTAAGTAATCCCATCTCAGCATCACTAATTCCCCTTTGTCCACCTCATTATCCCACTGAGCAGGTGGCAGGGGCTAGAATTTCTTAACGTGTGTATCTTTTGGAGATTTTTGAATGGCTATAACTAAATCAGTCCCTTTCTCTTTGGTTCTCAATAAATAGGTTGCCAAAATGCATAATTACTGATGGATTGGTTGATTGATTGATTTGTAAGTTAACATTATCAAAGCAAGTAGATGTTTTTATAGTCTTAATTCCTGAATCTGGTTAATCATAGAAAAACCCAAAAATCCTGTTTCTCTTAATTACTGGCAAATTGGTCAGTTTTTCTGTATAAATCTAGATGCAGCTATGTATCTTTTATCAGAGAGTGTTTTGTTGGAATAACACCATATAGATCATTTAATAAAATTAATCTTCTTTACTTCTACCCTCTGTTCATAATAGTAATAATCGTTGCACATTTACTATGTCAGTCATCATACTAGACACTTTGCCTTTATTTTACATCTTATTCCCCTTATAAATATATCCACATCATATGGTGATGATTTAACCTGAAAGATGTACTAAGCAGATTAAGATCTCAAAGTTTTCAAGTTACAGTGATAACATTTAAATAAACCCACTTATGTCGCTTTGTTACAGTACTTTATTTTATAGACAAGGAAAAACAGACCAAAGAAATTAAATGAATATTTCCAAGGTCAATTCTAGGATTAGAACCTTCTATATAATTCATAGTGCATTATTCTTTCAACTATATGATCTTGCTTAACTTACAGGTTTTTGATCTATGTAAAAAAATATATTGTCAATTCTTTTTAGTAACAATATATTTTAACTTCAGATTATTTTGCATTACAAATTTTCTTGCTTCCTAATGACTTATATTTTGGATTCTAACTAGTTCCATGATGTTTGTTAGGTGATTTTTATGGGATTTCACTTTTCTTCCAAAGGGTTAGGATGAAAGTACATGTTGTAAAGTTTATTAGCTTCCTGACGACTTCCTGAAAGTGGTATCTACTATTTTTATTTGTTGCCCTCTGCTCTTTTGGTTAAGAATGAGGAAACAAAAACTAAACACTAATAAATAATGTTCCAGGAAGTTTTACGCGATCATTTTGAGATTCCTCTTGCTCTGCCATGACTAGTATTTTGCAATGTATCCTACAATGATACAAAGAAATGTGTTGTTTTCTTCTTCAGAATATTTCCATGTTACAAGAATTTATACACTAAAGATTGTACACACTTCTACAATTATTAGTTTAGTGGGTTTTGACTTTGTTTTAAATTTACATGAGCATTGCTGAAAATAACACTCAATACATTTAGGAAATTTAGTTGAAAGACCAGTTAATTCAATATAATAAATAAATAACAGATGTCATAAGTAGGAATTTTAAAATGCAAATTAAATTGATAATATTCACAAATGTAATATGTCAGAATAAGTGTTCATAATGTTTCCAAAGAGAAAGGCTTTTAGATCTCATCTGGTAACTAAGTGGATCCCAGGCACAATGGAAAACATCTTGCACTTGGTACTGGCTCATAAGAGGTGCTCTCAGTTCTGGTTGGATGGACATCTCTTTAGTTTGGTCTGGTGCTGTGCTATACTGATTTTAAGTATTTTGATTACCCCCCTACCCTTAAAGGTCACCTAGTCATCTGATAATATCATTTCACATAAAATATGGAAACAAAAGTCAAAAGCTTTGGGATATATTACCCAAAGCTACATAAGGTTGAAGAGCAAGATCCAGGCTTATGCTCCTATTTTTTACACTTTATTTACGCAGTTCTTTTATTACATCAATCGTCTTTTCATATATAGTGTCAAGTAAACTTCAGCTTATTTGAAAAGCAATGATAAATTGTTTGACCTATCAGAGTCCTGTATGAAAGACTTTTCAAACTTTGAACTCATACAGATCTGAGATAAGGTCTAAGCTTACTTAAGTACCTTCTTGGTAAAAAGCCTTTTTGCATGTTCTCAAATTTCTCTAAGCCTCAATTTTCTCATGTGTAAAATGAGTAGTACATTTATTTAACAAGTAATACTGAGACTCTATAAGATGGACTCTATATGAAGCACTAGTGCAATATCTCCCTTAGAAAAGGCAACCAGGAAATGTTAGTTTCCCACCTGCCACCAATCAAGACAGTGACATTGTCATTCTTCAAACTGATGAGTGGACTTGGGTGAAAATCAGTTAACAAAAAAAGGAGATTTATTTTAAGCAGTTGAAATGAAATTCCTTATATATTTTTAAGAAAGAAATAAACTACTTAAGTATAGAATAATGAAATGTTAACCAAAAAAAAAAAAAACCCCTCACTACGGTGGGTTTGGGGGATAGGAAAAGAAAAAATGAAAGAAGATGGGATCGGGAGGGAGGGAAACCATAAAAGACTCAATCTCAAAAAACAGACTGAGGGTTGCTGGGGGGAGGGTAGGGTGGGAGAGGGTGGTGGGGATATGGACATTGGGGAGGGTATGTGCTATGATGAGTGCTGTGAAATGTATAAACCTGGCAATTCACAGACCTGTACCCCTGGGGATAAAAATACATTATATGTTTATTTAAAAAAACAAAACAAAACAAAAACCTCACTACATTCATTTCTTCACTTTAAAAATCAGAAATTAAGTCCATTATAGTAATTAGTTAAATGGGAAGTAATGATCTTCAATTTTGCAAACCCATGCAAATCCACATAACTTTTCACTTCCTAACAAACACTAGCTAATTAACATTTGAATATAGTGGTAATTTTTATAATGAAAGTTATTGTAAGAATATGATGTTTTAGACTCATAAGCAGTCATCTTAGTTACAGTTAGGATGATGATTAATGATGTGCTCAGTTTTTTTCTGTTTACTAACATAAATTTTTGTGCTTGTTAAATTTTTATTTATTTTATTACTAGTTAGATTAAGCATGTTTGGTTTGGGTCTATGCATTCTTATTTTGTGCTAGATCTATTTCCCTGTTAAGTCTATCTTTTATTGATTTGAAATACTTTTTTACATATTAAGTAAATATGTAAATTTTGTATAAGTAATACATTTTTAAATGTTTGTTTCTTATATGTTAAAATTTTTGTGATGAGCTTTGTAGTTAAATATGCAATTATTTTTACTACTTTTCCATAATGTAATTTCTAACATAGATAGGTCTTCTCTATTTAGCATTAAAAAAATGCATACATTTTATTCTAATGTTTTATGGTTTTGCTTAGTGGTTTTCAATGTAAAGGTTTTGCTTTCCAATTAACTTTCAATAATTGGGAAGATTAGTCTATTAAGAGCCCATGATATCATTTATGTTACTCATTAGCTACTAAGCAGTTTAGTGGCATGATCACTGTTGCTAATTTATTTAAGTGAGTTAACATAACACACGTAAATGTACAATTCCTATATTCTTAATATTTCAAGTTTGTTATTAAACTATCCTTATTGATAGAAGTAGGATATAAATCTATTTGCTATACTGAGTATGGCACATTAGACTCCCCACAGTAAATGTGCTTCATCAAGATGATATATTTACTAGGTTTCAAGGGCTTGGTTTACCTTGTAACACAGCCGAATCCACCTAAGGATGAACCACATTCCCACAATGAAAATCCTGAAGTAATTTCCAAGGATGTGGAAGATTGCTTGCACATTGTAAATAAACATTTGTGGCAGAATTATGCGTGGGTAAAATTCATGAGTTTCCTAAGACAAGGCAATAATTTTGATGTCTAAGTAACTTTAGTTATTCATACTGGACAAAGCAACAAATTACAAAGGCCGTATTTTCAGTTTTAACTCTAACAGAAGGTTTGGCATGAAGTAAAGAATTAATTTTGTCCTCAGTGATCCCAGTACTATTTATTACACAGATTTTCAGTATCTTCACTATGTTGACTTATGCAATAGCATTATTTACTCTTGCTTTACTAGGCTTTAGAATACAGAAGATAACATAAAGAAATTGAAATGATCTGAATTTAAAAGAAGAGTCAGATTAAAAGCGTAGTTATTCCAGCCAGGGTGTATATTTATCTGCAATTAATAGCAAAGGATTATGGCTCCATCTCTGCCACATAAGTAATGGAGCTATTCACTTTATCTGACTAAAACCATATGGGAGTAAAGAGAGATGAAACAAAATAACAACCGAAAAAAGACACAGGCAAAATAATTTTTCAGATCACTGCAAAACCTCAGTACTGCCTCGGGCCTGTGGCAGTTGGCATCCTCATACCAGCTTCTATAATCATGAGGTAGGGCAAGGGAGACAAGGAGGGTCTTGAATCAGTAGTGAGATGACACTTCTGTTTTTAAGAAGCAGAGCAGTGCTCAGAGAACTAGAAGACACTATAAAAACATCGCTACTGGGACTGTTACTATTTGTTGAAAAGAATATATATCATGAGCTTTAAGGCTATTTATATTCTATGATTCACTAATATACCTTCTATGAATGTTTTGCAATAAATGATTAAAAAACTAACACTAGAAAAATGTCATTCATAGATGTTCATACCTGTATTTGTAATAGCAAGATATTGGAAATAACTTGTAACTTCAGTAGCATAAAAGTGAAAATACCTTACAAGCTGACTAATTGAGGATTTTTAAAATGAACTGTGGTACAGTTATAATATGCAATAATATGGGGCCTTTTAAAAGGACTACAAAGAAATATAATGGAGGGAGGGATAGATCAACATTACCATGGTGGTATTCTTTGGCACATCATCTTTTTTCATTTAACTGTATTGTGCATTCTTTTTCTTTAGAGTGGTAAAGGGTTAAGAGGATGATTAGCAGAAAGAAAATAAGTCAGGGAAGAAAAGGCTTCATTTAGCTGAGATATTATAGGTGCTACACTTCCCTTTTCCTAGAATTTCCCTCTCTTTCTCCTTTACTAGCAAACATCCAGATTAAACATAAACTCTGTGAAATGACCCCTAATTGTGCGTTCTAAGTGCAACTTACTGTTTATTTTTTTCTGATTAAAATGCGTATTGTAATTGTGTGCTCTTATACCTGTGTTCCAAAAAAATGTATTTCTTACAGTACAAAGAAACACAATATTCTCATATGCCTTAGTATACTGAAGTGTCTGTTATATCACAAGTTTTGGATACATATATGCTGAGTGAATAAATGCATGAAAGAATCAATAACTTTATAAAATGAATGCAATAGATTAAGTGAGTTTTAAGGAAGCATCCACGATTATAATGCTTTCCTCAAATATGCATGTAAGTGAAGATTTCAGTAACTATCTGCTCAACTATATATGGAGTAAGTCAATTACTTAAAGGGTGAATTATTTTCGTTTTAATTTTCTTTAATAAATGTGGTACATGGGTGCATATACTATATTTATTGACTGGTATCCTGACATATGAAGGGTTGTGCTTAATTGTGTATTTTCCTTAGAGAAAGGTGCTCTTGTTAAGCATGCTAATTTAGTTCTCTACGCTTTGGGCCATCTAAGAAAAAATCATTAATTTCTCATTTGATTCTGCATGAATAATTTTGAAACTCATTGATATGACTTTTTAGTTATAATTAAGAATATCAATTCAGTACTTTTGTAGAATAATGCCATAATGTTTCTGATTTAGAAAGCATAAATACAAGTTTTTATCATTCTGAGTGCATTGTGTATTCATAACAAGTACAAATAATATTTCCTAACTAATGTTAAGAAAAAAGGCACTTAAAGTTAATCTTGTCAAACAGTGTTTAGTTTTGGAAATGCAAACTAAGTCAACTTACTTCCTTTCCCTAGAAGCGCTGCCACTGTTGTGACATTGTGTTTCATTTTGTAACCCATCTGCTACTTAGGCCAGATATGCATTTTCTGGATGCAATCTGTTGGTTTCCAATGGTTTACTACATGGTGGGCTCTATTGACAAGTAGGTGACAAAATCTTTGGCACACTAACTAGTGTGGTGTCCTGTGGTTTGTCATGTGCTGTGGCCCCGTGTTGCATGATGAGTGTAATTTGCCATTTCAGTATTGCAAATATGGTGTATTTTGCATGCAGAGCTTATGTTCTCGTGTTACAAATCTTGTATTCAAACTTCCGAAGCAGTAATCTGTTGTTGAATTAAAACAAATCTCGCTGCATGTGAATTTTGTCACTTTTGTTTAGTTTCTAAAGTTATTTCAGTTTTGTGTTGTTTCTAGCAATAACGTTATTACTATGGGCCTTGGGGTAGAGAAAATCTAATGGTCCACTGTTGTGATGCTTGATGACATTGTCATAACTTCTGGAAATCTTCCAATAATTTAGAGATGCTCCTTTGAAGCCAGATATATAAACTGGAGCATTTCCTTAAGAACTTCCTTTATTTTAGTAACATATATCAGTATATGATTTCTAAAAATTTGTTAATCAAAAAGTCAAATGTGTGCAATGTGTATTAAAATATAAATTCTTTTATACAGATGAACATGATTTATAAGAAATATAAAACTAAAGATCATAAAACTACTATGCTTATAAAATGTGCTAGTTTTCCATTTTAAAAAGAAGTCAGCCAGAGCCTTCAAAACAAAATGCTAAAGTTACTAATTAAGAATTTTCATGCTTACGTTTTGTCCTGTAGATTGAAAAAACAAAGTTTTATAACTTTGGAACTGTTTATTGGCTGTGGATACATTAAAGAGCAAACTGACTAATGTTTATTTAAACTCTATTCTATATTAATATAATTTGCATCATCAGATATCTTAATACTAATCAACTAAGATGTAGTTAAATGTATTGAAATTACTATTTAAATTTAAAACGTGAAATCAACCTATATTTTATTGCTACTAATATTACTTTGGAGTGATAGTATTCTACTGAAATTCATTAACATTAAAAAAAAAAACAAACCTCCCATCTGTCTTTGCTGATGTAAACTATGAAATGAATTCTTTCTCTATGGAAGTGTTTATGGTGAGGGAAAGAGGAAACGAGAGGATCAACTTCCTATGATTAGAGATGACACTGGATTGGCTATAAATTAATCATTATTGAATCTGGGTGGGTGTTTGGAATATGGAGGTCACTGTGTTCTCTTACCCTAGTGTTTGAATTTTCATTAAAAAGCTAAAAACACCTTTGAATGAATTAAAACACAAACAGTCCCATGTATTCATACATTCACATTATAGTTCTCCTTGAAAAGGAAGGCTTAGAAAACAGTTAAAAGGAAGTGTTGCCATTTAGATTATCCTTTTTCATGAATATTGACGTTTTTCTTAGGCAGCCATCTGGTGGCCAAATGCTGTAAAGCAACTATGCTGAATGAAAATTCAGGCAGTGGCTTTGCAAATAGGATAGTGTGGAGAATTCATGACAGATGTAGCGTTGTAAGAATAAATTGGTAGCCGGATTAAAAAAGGGGAAAAAGGAGTAAAAATTAATATTAAATGGATATAAAAATAAATAATCTAAACTTAAAACCTGAAAAACAAAATGTTTACATGGTTCTGAAATGCCATCCCAATTTTATGTATTTTCTATAGATTTAAATTCATATTTATCATAATTACTAAAATCACTTGTCAAGGTTATACATAAACTACAACAGCCAATATTTTGAGTATGAAATTAACTGAAACATGGGGGTATAGGTAGCTCTTAGTTATTTAGCACAGGTATGCATAATAAATTTTTTTGTCAAGTTTCAACTTCATTGACTTATTACTGATGAAATATTCATTTTTCCCATCATAACTATCTGTATATCTTTTAACAATCAAGCTTATCTTCTATCACCTTATCTTTCCCTTTTTTAATATAGATAATTATAGTGAAGAGATTATTTTTTATTGGGGGAAAAGACCCTAAGAGCTCAAATAGAAAATGATTCAAAATTATAGTAAGGTGGGTTGAAGGTATATGACTTGGACATCATTTTTATGACCCATAAGGGGCCATATTACATTAATTTTCCATCTACTTCTTTCTTTTTTTTATAAGTTTTTTAATAGATACAAGAACAATTATGAATTTCATAATTTCTTTTAACAAGTTAAAAGAAACATCAAAATAAGGTCAAACTTATTTTTATCAAACTTGATCATCATATTGATTCGAAATTATGGCCCTGACCCTTCTAATCACGGGAAATTTATTTGGAATTCTGTTTCCAAAGTTTTAGCCATAAAATCTCTGCCACAGAAAATTGTTCCTGATTGAAGCAAAATATTATTTTCTGGAGATCTTGGACTCAGAACTTTGGTAATACTTTCTCACTTGATGTGGCTAGTTCAACCAATCACACACTTGGAAAAAGATCCTCAGGCAACTGACCTGTAATTTAAGAATCTAGAAGGAACTACTGTTCTTTAAGTTCTCCACTTCCTATTTTAAATCAGAAGATGTGGGCATCATTTAGCCCAATTCTTCTCCGTCCTCAATCAACTTCGTACCTAGAACATTCTTAAACTCCTTCAAGTTCAGTCTCCTTTATCTGATTCAGTTGTATTTCTCTAGTTTGTATGAAGCAGAGGCAGGGGGAGAGTGGTTCTTTAGGTCAGCTTTAATGGCAACATTTCCTTTTAATTCAGTGGGAGAATGCTAGTATTTATCAGTGGTAGAGGAAAAGACTATTATAATTCATGGGAATTTGTATCCTGGTTTAGCAGGCATTTCACATAATCAAAAAGTTCAGGTCATTAAATCACTGGCTCAAAACCTTTAGGCTTCCTGAATGGTAAGTTTGAATACAACTGATGTTTATATATTTTTCGTGCTCATGGCTGTGCAGAACCAATCTTTAACACATAGCTTTACACAAAGAAATAATACACATTTAAAAATAAACACTGCACAGTTTACTACTTCTTTGTTGGGCTAAGCCATCTAAATTAATATAAGTATTCACTTCTACTCTTATCAAAAGTACCATAGGGATTATAAAGAATATATAAATGTCCTGCCTTTGAAATAGTGTGCTAATCATAAAAACACAGTTCTAACGTGCTTTATCTATTTGATTGCAAAATGGGTGTTTTTCATGTTTTAGTTATATAATTGATAAATATTATTAAATAAAATTCCTTAACACATAATGCTTTGAAATGGTTGGGATCTAATGAAACAGAGAGAGCTCAAAGATATGAATATTTCATGTCAGCGCAGAATACTATATTTTAATTCCCATCAACTTGTATCTACCAGGGCAAATTGTGTGAAAGCCATCTCTAAGGGCAGCCTATACAAGTGTAGTGGATAAGCAAGTCCTGTTCGTAGTATGGTGGTTTACTGAAAGTCCGTTCTTCTCTGTTGATTTTTATCAAAGCCTAGATGATTTACTCAGGTGTGGAGTGACTTTTGCTGCCAACATGGTGGTTGTGGACAAAGAGAGTACCATGAGTGCAGAGGAAGACTACATGGCCGACGCCAAAACAATTGTAAATGTGCAGACCCTTTTCAGGTAAATATCTCAATAACTCAGCCCTGTGGCCTATTTACTGCTAATATTGGTGAAATATTTGACTCTGACTCTGTATATAAAGAATGAACATGAGGTACTTACACTGAGGTTATGTTCATTCATTTGATCCTGAAGCAAATGCTTATTTAGTCTCCAATGTAGGACTGGCACCGTATGGTTAATTTCTAACTCAGGATCATTCTTTTCAAAGCAGATAGAATAACAAATCTGTTTTCTGGTGTAGTTTAACAGTAACAAATTCTAAATCCTGTGCAGTTGCAGTCAAGATTTATCACAGATGAAGTGGGATCTAATTTTGATTTTATGCCTGGCAGTGGCCAAAAGTATGCATTTACAATCTGGATTACTAAATGAAATATTGTAAGGCTGTGAAAAGGTAATTTACCCATGTTAAGAGCCAAGTCATAACCTTATCCTCACTATTTTCCTGTTTTTCATTAATAAATTTACCCAGATAGGAATTTCCATTATGATTATCTTTGGGAAAGGAAGAAAACTAGAGAAAAGTTCATGCTATAAGCAAAGTCAAAATTACTTGTAAATGAAGACATCTTTGTCACTTGAAATGGTTCTTTCTGAAATCATTTTAAAATGTAAATATCTAAAAGATCATTAATTTAGCTTTGTGAGCTTCGTGGAATTCTAAAGGAACTATCTGAGGTACCAGATTATGGAAGTAAATAAAACAGTCTGAACTCCATCATATCTCTTGTTTCACATTAACACCTTCATCTTGTAGCAAAGCCTGTAGTGAGGGTAGTTTCCAATTTGTTTTTTGAGTTCAGAATTCAGAAGAGAAAGCTAGATGTGAGTCCCACTTAAGTTGACTATTTATTATATGCTCTTAGGCAAATTACTTCCCATCTCTAAACCTCAATGTCTTAATCACAAGGTTGTTTCGGATTTAAAAATATATACTGCTATAGGGGCACCTGGGTGGCTCAGTGAGTTAAGCCGCTGCCTTCGGCTCAGGTCATGATCTCACGGTCCTGGGATCGAGTCTTGCATCGGGCTCTCTGCTCAGCAGGGAGCCTGCTTCCCCTCTCTCTCTCTCTGCCTGTCTCTCTGTCTACTTGTGATCTCTCTCTGTCAAATAAATAAATAACATCTTTAAAATATATATATATATATATATATATATACTGCTATAGAACATGGTTGGTAGTTTTCAGTTACTCTATGAATGTTGGTGACTGTAATTATTAGCACTATCATGATCACTTTCATGTGACAGAGTAGAAAAGCCACAGACTTTGGAACAGTATAGCAACAAACTTCATCTGGCACTTCAATCCCTGAGGTTCCAGCAGATACATGTGACTTTAAGTATATTTCTTAACCTCATAGAAATTCAGTTTCTCATATCTATAAAAGGCATGTGGAAAATAATTAACCCTTCCTGCAGTGTTAATGTAAGGACCAGAAATTAGGTAAGTGATGAATCTGTCACAGCATCTGGAAAATTTACTCTGAACTTGCATAAAAAACTTTTGTTCCAAAAGGAGGAAAATGTACCCTCTAAAACTACTGTAATGTGGCAGTTCATTTAGAATATAGCTAACTAGTTATTGAGCTAAATGAAATAGTACATTTAAAGGTTGCATAGCACATGTTTAAAATATGACATATATGTAAGTAATTTTTTCCCCCCTCTGGAGAATGAAAAAAGAAATTACAAGTGGAAAATTAATTCAGAGAGGGATGAGATTTATAGCCAGTGAACAAAGTGAAATCGTACTTTTTGGTGGAAGCATGGCAAAAGTTAGTTACATTTTTAACAGAGGAGGATCCCCAGTCTGTTTGATGAAACATACCACTTTAATTTTCAGCTTATCAATGCTTTATTTCTATTATGCTTTATTTTTTGTTATGGTAAAGTTTCAATTGATTTGACTTGACTTTTATTATATAGTTTATGAATGAGTTATTTTGATTTCAAGATAATAATAAATAGATAATAAATCCCCATCTTACTGAAAGGTGCAAAGGCTCTAATCTTTTAAAACCAACTGACCAGAATAACTAAAAGCAGATACCTATGTTGTGGTATTATCATCATTTCACTAAGTACGTAACAATATTTTTCAGGAAAAAAAAAATCTGTTAAACTCTTTAATGGAGTAGTCCTTGAGCTGGTGGTCAGTGCATGCTAAACTAGGATAGTCTTGCATAATAAAGTACAAAAGTCAGACACCGATAGATCCCCGTGATGTATGGAATGTTGCTTATATAGACAAATGACCAAAATCATGCAGATTTGGCCATTTCATTTTATAGATGCAGTCAGTTACCACTTTTAAGGTCACTTTCCCACATTCCTTGATGATTTGGGTTCCTGATTCACTGTGACTCTTGAAAACCCTGTTTCTACCATCATTCTTGATGATTTTAACAATTCCATGTAGATGATCCTTTCAATGTCTTACCTTAGCCACCTGTTCTCCTGGTTATAGCCTTTCCCTTGAAGTACCAGTAACATTCCCCTCCATCCTCTCAATTTCATTTAGGTCTGGGAATACTACTGCTTATTTTCTGCTTCAATTCTTCTAATACCTCCAATTTTTAATAGTCCTGTGTCTCCACTGGAACATACTATCCACTGGATCAAATACCTTTTCACTGTCCTTAGTCACCTGAGAGCCTTTCTTCCCTCGTTACCAGATTAAGTTCCAGATCAATCATTATAATCACTCCTGTGCTGAAACCCTAAACAGATAATTACTGATTACCTACTGTGGACTAATACCGATCTCAACTCTCCTATTCTCCCTTCCTCCACTCCCAGTTTTCTTTCAGGTTCTCTGCCCACTACCTTGCACAAAATTCCTTAAAGACAGATGACCAGTTCCAGAGGTAGAATCCAGATATCCTCATAAGTGTGCAACAGGCAACCAGAAATCTCATCCCAGTGGCTGGGTACCAAGCTATTTAGGATTAAAGCATAATACTCCATCTTCAAGGGAATGTTGAGTATAAGAGAGTGAATAGTGTTAAAATGATTAAAGAATGCAATTTAGGTGATACAAATGGACTTTATTTAACACTTCATGAAGTGGGCAGTCTCCATTCCTAAGGTCCAGAGAGGGTGGGCGGCAGGAAGCTCTTATAGGATAAAGAACAAGGAACAGGAAAAAGAAAAACAAAATGAGTAAGGAACAAGGAACAAAGAACTAAGTGTAGAGCCCAGGTTTGGCTTGGCATCTGGGGCTTGGCTGACTCGGTATATTGTGTTTCTGGTCAAGTAGAGCATTTATGGGTGTCAAATAACAAAACTAAAACAATTTAGTTGTTAAAGTAAGTATCAAGTAAAAGATTGATAGCCTTTATTCAAGGGAAAACAGCCTATGGATTGGGCAAGTACAGTGCCTCACAAGCAGTGGGACATTTTTCCGGAGAGATCCAGGGCAAGAGCGAGATTATAGAATGTTAGAAGGGCACCTTATAAATAGGGCATGGCGGGCTAGGAGGTCAGGCATTTCCTGGTCAGGCTAGTAGGTCCTGTTCTCTAGCATAAGCTGAGCTAGCTAAAGCTGATTTGGAGGATTGAGATTGGTGTGTATTAGGTTTCCTTAATAGGTATTCACTATAAGTACTTGGGACTTAAGTTTAGATTTGTGATGTGGGTGGGGCCTCTGAGGCAGCCTCCGAGTTGTGGGTCCTGATATGCAAATTAATTTTATCACAGAGACACACAAAAGTTAGAATCTATGTTTTAGTTTCCTGACATAGCAATCCAGCAGGAGAAGCTCCATCTTGGGCCTAGAAATTTATTTCAATAATAGTATCTCTAAAATATCTCACCCAGTCCTTCTATCTTCATGAATGTCATTAATTTCCTCAAAGGAGAACCAAATTCTAATCTGCTTGGCCTCTGTATGAATTTAGCAAACTAAGGTGACCTTATGCTGTTGCTCTACATGGGACGATGCTACATTTTGTTTTAGCATTTGTAAAGGACGGTGAAGCTCTTTGGGCACATGCCATTTCAACTTGATTATTTTGACATTCCATTTTGATGCGGGGGCATTTTGACTTTTGCTTTCTCAGCTTTTAAAATGACTTAAGGAATATGTTAGAAAAATCTTCAATCTGTGCTTGTATTAGAGCCCAGGAGACAAGAACGAGATGGAATTCAAGTATGAAATGAAAGTAATGAGGCTCTGGTTCACAAATTATTGGTATAACTGGTATCGCCTGTTTTGCCGGTCTGGGGTAAGGTTAAATTTGTTGTTATTCAGAAGCGCAGATTGATCACTTGAACCCCTGCCTTACTAGGACATACAGCTTCACTTGGCAAGCCTTTATTCCTTCCAGATTGTTCAAGGACCTTTCAGAGTTATTCAGTCCCAAAAGACCAAAGGCAAAAGTAGGAGAATCTCATTAATGCATTAGCAGTATAGTTGGGGGTAGGAGTGAGGTTTAAGAAGAGTTAGAGGAGAGCTAGGGGCATGAGAAGGACGCCTTTTCATCTGGAATTGCATTTATAACTTAAACATATTTTTGTAATTGAAAACGACTACACAGTCCAGTGTGTCTTTATACAGTGTGGCAATTATGGATTTGCTGGGTTGGCCCCTGTGTATTTCTTCCAGAGAACCCACTCAGGAAGTATTTTATTTTCCACATTCAGAGTCTAGAACTTGGCATACAAAGTTTTAAGACTCAAATACTATCAGGTATCACTCCTGAAGTTTGTGCAGTTTTCCAAATTGAAAGACCAGCAAGTCCTCACTTTAAAATTTAAATTTCTCTTCCTAAAGTTTTACCGAAGAAGTACCTGGTATGTTTGAACATATTGCCTGTTTTTACATTTTTATGAAGAAGTGTTAATCTTAGCTAAATTTAAACAACTATGCCAAAACGTGCAAAACGTGCCTTGAATTAAAAACAACTGCTTCAAAAATGGCTATGTCAGACTAAGTATCGAAATGCTCTACTTAGGGAATGTTTGGCGTGTCAATGGCATCTCTCATTATCCTCATTTAGCTGGGAAAAAAGCAGCAGTGAAGGCAGCTTACTGGCTCATCCTATCTTATATAGGAAAAAAAATTGGCTGATTCAAACCAAAGGCCTTAAGTCTGTGCATCCGGAAAAGAAAAGGCGAGAAAACTTTCTCTGGAAGTTGAGAAGCAGAGAATTTTCTAGAGAGCACACAAGATAGTTAAAACATTAGTTTAATACAGAATGGCTACGAATGTAAATAGTTACTAATGTTAAAAGATAAACTAAGGCATACTAACAATTGTTAAGAGTTTATATGAGTAAAAATCGGTTCAAATCTGGCAGCGCCAGATAGGAAGTAGTTAGAAACTCTCCAAGGACAGGAGTTAGGGACTCATCGAGAAGAGGCAGAAGCAAAGCAAGGAAATTATTTGGCCACAGCTTAAGTGGTTTTATTCGAGGAAGCCTAGCTGACTGTGTGGATGTCCTTTGGTTTTGATGTCTTAGCCTTGAGACATTTATAGGCTGAGGTGTTGGCTTGCTTACGCAGGCTGCTAAAGTGTTAGGACCCTCTCAGTCTAATGGTCTCTTCATTTAATTGATTTAGCATCGATTTATCTGCCTTGTAAAAGCCTAGGAGTGACTTAGTTCAGAAGTCCCTTGGGCTGATATTTTAATATGAAGATATTTTTGTGTTTGCTTTTCCCCCTAAAATTTAGCTGATTAGACTGCTAAGATAACTACTATTAGTGCTCTGTCAGTGGAAACATTCATTCAAGTCATGGATCTGTGATGTGTTTGGAAGGAGAAATTCCTGCATTAGCCCAGTACAGGTCAGGTGGACCTCTACAAACACCTACAGCTTGATTTATCCACGGGGTAATACTGAGCAAATAGTGAGTTTGGGGCCTCTGCAGGATGCTGTCTATGGCTGCTGTGGTGCTGAAGGCAGACAATGATCAGTCGTGATTAAGGCATCCTGGCTTTGGGTTGCTGATAATCTAAGCTGGGAACATGAAACAAGTCATTTAAAAATTGAACTGGAGAATGGTAAGTGTGGCAGCTACCGAAAAAAAAAAAAGAATGTTATATACATCCAGACTACAAGAATATATGATCTAGTCCAGTGGATCAAGGAACACCTCCCTGAGAAATTCATCTTTCACCTGCAAGTTAGACTAAGCCGGCGAAGAGAAAAGGCGAGCATGCCACATGGGGGCAGCATAGCCAAAGGCTCGAGGTCCTGGTTTACAGAGCTTCGTAGCAAGTTGATCTTCGTTACAGGAGTTAACAGGAAGGAAACCACTGAAAGATGGAGTTTTAAAATATTGTTTTAGTTACAATGTGAAAAGTGGTTTGCGGTGGGAGGGGGTATAGTAAGAGCAGGGAGAGCTGGTCATTTAAAAGATTTGCATCCCTAGGATGCTAAGAACATAAATGGCAAGCTAAAAAATAAAAAAGGGAATATTGTCTTCAGCTTGGCACAAGTAGTCATAGTCTCATTGAAGAAATAACATTCCTCTACACCTGGAAAGTGATATAACTGAAAATATTGGTAATGAATTTGTATAAATGCGAGAATGATTCCTTTATATAGTAAAAAAATATATTTTTTTATTCTTTTCATTAGTTTACATGGATAAATTTAAATATAGGACATATCTGATATTTATTATGGTCTCGTTTATTAGTAACTCGGACTCAGACCTAAAGTATTTAAAAGGCGTTTGTAAAAAAAATTCAAATTTCTTTTAGTGTTGACACTCAATTGTAGTCTAAAACTAGTGTTTCATATATCTAAGTTTGTGTACCTATATATAAAGTATACTCCCATTACTCAGAAACATCATGCCCAGCCATCCCAACAGATCGAAATTTATAGTGTAAAACAATAGCTGAGTACTTTTATTAAGATACTGTAAACATTTTCCAGGTTTATATGTCCTTGTGTTTGTTTTGCTTGAATATATAATTGCAGCTAGTCCCAGAGTTCTCCCAGTGGTCTGGGAAATAGAGTATATAGTGTGTTTTCCATCTCTGTATTGGTTAGTATAACAAGGCATGTCTGTCAAAAATACTTTTTGAATAAATTAATTCAGGCAGAGAACTATTCCATAGAGATTTTGTACATCTCCACAGTGATACTCACATCACTCAATCAGAACATAAAGTAATTGTAGAAAAGTTTTAAATAGAAAAAACAATATTGTTCTTCAACTATAATATTGCTTTAATGTGATCCTCATACCTAGGGAAGATAGACTTTTTATGTTATTTTATATCTAAGATATCTTATAATCAGAATGTGTTTTAGGCCATGTTAAGACCCAGAAATAGAATTATAGATGAGTATTTAAAAGATATATAATATAAACCAAATATAAACCAAATTTATAAATGTATTATAATTGAATGTGAATAATATTTTGTAGGTATAAAAGGCAATGCAATAAAACATTTCAATATTTAAGTCTTATTTAGTTATAGATATAGGTTATAGTTACAGATTTTCACTAGATGGCACACTTAGGTAATGCATTCACTTTCTCAGTCTAAACCGTGGTATAGGTTCATTTATATAGAACAGAAATGGTACATTATATATATATTTTTTGGTTCTATCTAATTTCCATTCTACAAGTCACTAAAGTACATTGACCAGGTCACCTAATCATATTACCACTCACTGTAACTCAGACCTCCAGTATATAGCTACATATATATATATTTCTATTTGATATAATGTGTTAAAAAGGGATTATATCATCCAAGTAATCATAAATGTATCCAAAGTTAGAATAATACTATCTATGGAAGATAAATGTATATTTCTCAGAGAAAATGAAAATTTCCCAAAAGATGAAATAGCTTTTCATTGGTTTGCAGCTAGATTTTTCTCACAAATTACTTTTCTGGCCTTTTCTCAACACTATTTTCTCAGCACTATTCTAGATGCTTCTCATGAGCTGTCCGTTTACTGGTGTCTTAATGCTACATAATCTGTGAGGACTCAGCCAGACATATTTATCACCCCTAGAAAAATATGTACCAAAATATATGTACAGCCTTATAATTTATAATTTTTTTAGTTTCCTATAGGTAGTAGAGCCTAATTTAAAGGCAAAATTTCACTTCATACTTGTTTTTATGTCCTAGAGACCAGAGCTGTCCGATCACAAATGCTTGATAATTACTTGTTAATGTAGGTGTTAAATATTGCCCTCAGTAAATAAAAATAACAATAATGAAGTTATGATGTGATAGTTATTATCATGTATGTATGTGTGCAGGGGTGTGTGTGTGTATGTTTTGGGGGGAAGGAGGTGTACAGGAAGAAAGCTAATGCTTTCTTTAGGATCCTTTTAGAAGAACACTATCAACTGAGCCTTGGCCTCAATTTGTTATAATGAAATGTTATTTCAGCTAAAATATTTTCTCTTCTCAGAAAGTCATTATATCAAGATTTGACATTTAAAATTGCATACTATGAGGATAGGGAACTTAGAAGATCAAAGAACTCATAAACAGCAAGCTCATCACATGACATCTTTGTCAATCAGTGTATTCATTTATAAATTTTAATTTTAACATTATCCACAAAGTCACCTTGTAACTTCTTAAATCAGCTTCATGAGTTTCTATTCTCTGCCACTTGATAATTGTAGAGAGAAATGTCTAATGAAAGCCAAATTACTAAATTTATTTTTCTTACATTGCTAAAGTGTTGGTTAAAATATTCTTTGGAAAACAGTGTTCCATGTTTCTTGCATTATATGGACAGTTTTTGTGGCAATGCCTTATGCCTAAGGCTAGGAAACACTTACTCATAAATATGTTGTTATACAAAAATGCCATATTGGATTGTTAGCGTAATGCAAATGTTCTTTGTGTATTTGTTTGTTTTTTTTAATGTAGGTTGTTTTCCAGTCTCAGTATTATCACAGAACTTACCCACCCGGCCAACATGAGATTCATGCAATTCAGAGCCAAAGACTGTTACTCTCTTGCTCTTTCAAAACTGGAAAAGGTAAGACTTCATATTAAGGAAGTTGCATTTAACTATTTTTCCTGAAAGAGCAACTCTGAAATTCCTATATATAGAAATGCTATGAGGTAGTAAAAATAAAATTACTGTTTTGTATTCTTATTTTGGAACTAAAATCTTAATTTACAATTTTTTAATGTGAATTGATGGATTTGAGCCACTTGTATCACAAGTGAACAGAATGGAAATATCTTATTCTCTCATCATCTATTATAAATTCAAAGCATGATCTACGAAAGAGTTAAATGCAACAAGAATGCATATACTCACTTATAATGCCCATTATATTGTTAATATCATGAGCGTTATATCAAGAAACCTGTGTTTATAGAGGGCATTTTAAAATTTATTTTAAAATAATCCTTAAGGCCTTAGAAAAGTTGTAGGCTTTGTTAAAGTTAGCTTCCCTAATGCCACCAACACAATCTGAGACAAAGCTGAGTTTATTGCTTCCTTAGATAAGGGAGACGGTCACCTCAGGAGAGCTTTAGCAATACATCAGAACCCGGGAAGCAAGGTCAAAGTTTCTTGAGTACAGGAAATCTTATTTAATGAGGGTCTTTGGAATGGGGGGTTGATTAGGTTTGGGAAGGGATCAGGGTAATGTGAATGGACAAAGTAGGATTGTAAAGTCATGGTATGTGGACAGAGAGGTGTGGTTTCCATTCTTAATGTCTAACCTGAATGTGGCTGTAAATGGATTTTGTATCAAGCATTTACTTGATACTAGTACACCGGAAGACTTTGATGTAAGAGAAAACAATGAGATTCAATCTTATTCATGTGAAAATGTGTTAAATCTATGCCATCTTTATTGTTTATGAAAACATAAGAGGTGCAGATAATGATGCCTTATATTTGTTAGTGTTTGGTTAGTTCAGTTTTTCATTTAATTTTGATTACCTGTTATGCCAAACACTGTCCGAATTCCTAGGAGACATATTGCTGAGTAAGGACATTATTGCAGTCTCGTTTGTTGATTTCCATCTTCAGTCAGAGCTGGTCACATCTGTTATATTAGTAGAGCCTTCCCACTGTTCCTTTATAGTCATAGTTAAGGTGTTTTTAGGCACTGCCTTCAGAAGAGGAAACTGAGTGTAAAACAGGTGAAATAATTTTTTCAAGATTATATAGCTCTCAAGTTAGTGCAGTAAGAGAATCTTTTTTTTTTTTTAAGATTTTATTTATTTGATAGCACAAGTAGACGAAGAGGCAGGCAGGGGGGAAGCAGGCTCCCCGCCGAGCAGAAAGCCCCATGTGGGGCTTGATCCCAGGACCCTGGGATCATGACCCAAGCCGAAGGCAGAGGCTTTAACCCACTGAGCCACCCAGGTGCCCCAGTGCAGTAAGAGAATCTTAAAGACATTAATGTTCAGGACAGAAAACTTCCTTATGCCACACTACTTAGGAGTGGAGGCAAGCTTGGCTATATTGGCTCAGCACCCACAGGCAAACCCAGTTATCAGGAATCCAGCTGAAATCAGTGCTGACAGGGTATCTGATGCTCTCCCTTAGGTCATACTAGGATTACCTAGTGATAAAGAGTATAGGATCCTGAGTCAGATTGGTCCATTTCTCTACTATTGTCTGGGAATGGAACCTGGCTAAATTATTTACACATTGATAGCTTTGTGATTCTTCTCTAGAAATAGTGGTAATAGTTAAATAATAGGGTCATTGCGAAGATTATACCACATGATCTATCCAAAACACTTAGCCCAGTTTTGGCATATAATAAGTATTCAAATAAATGGTACTACAAACATAATTATAAATTATTGTGGATGTCACTAATCACTACTCCATTCTATGTATTCAATTTTATGCCAAGTGAGTGGATGTTTGAAGATCGTAATTGTGGAAGATGTTTTTAATAGTGTTGAGTGTGTGTGTCTATATTATTGTGTGTCTATTGCATTAGGGAAAAAGAACAATATGAGATTTTAATATTTGTTGGGGAATTAATAAAAAATAAAGTCTTCTCCCAATCTAGAAATGTTTTTTACAAGTGTAGGAAAGTTTTACTTGAATAAACATTAAACCAGAATGATATACATCTCAAGAAATCCACTAAAGAGATTGTGAAAAACAGAAAGGCATCTCACTCTTTTATATAGCTAAGCAAATACAATTTTTACATACATGTTAATTGTCATAATATAAAGGAAAAATAAAACTTCTTGTATCTTGGCAACAAGCAAGCAGTTAAAACTTGCAGCTGGATACATAGACTAACCTCCCAAAGAGACAGAGAGACTGGATGCTTTAAGTTCACATTTCAGAAAGATAGTTCTAAGACTTCCAAGAAAGACTTCACTGAGGTACAAAACTGGCTAGAGATTATTCAGGTTTTCAAAAGCTTTGCATCCTTCTGAAAGCAACAGAGAAAGGATTTACAATTGCAAGTTTTCTAAAGGAACTGCTCTAGGAAAAAGAGGAGGAAATATGTAATTTTCTTCCCTTTTGGCATCAAGGAAATTCATTTATTTTTTAGATTTTTATTTACCCTTACATATACTAGATATTTCCCAAAAAGAGTAAAGGAATTCAGTATATCCCTTCATTATTAAGGAATAGTGGGTCTTGGGGAATTGGAATTGAAACCAGTTGGTTTGGAGGTTATAAAGCCATAGACATTTTTTTTTGTCAACTCAATTATTACCATTTTATCCATGGAAATAGTGGTTTTGTCACATAGAAACCTTCTAGACTGTAGTGCTGTGACGGCTTAAATTGTGTTCCTCCCCCTCAAAGAAAAATGTGTTGGGAGTCCTAGCCTCTAGTACCTCTGAATGTGATCTTAGTTGAAGATAGGGTTTTTATAGAGGTAATTGGATTAAAGAAGGCCATTGAGGTGGGCCCTAATGCAATACAACTGACATCCTTATAAAAAGGGTAAATTTGGATACAGAAACAGACATAAATAAATGGAAGACAATGTGGAGAGCCATCCACAGCCAAGGACAGCAGCCTGGAATAAATCCATTTGCTTAACAGCCCTTAGAAGGAACCAATGCTGCTGACACCTTGATTTCAGATTTCCAGCCTCCTGAACTCTGACACAATAAATTTCTGTGGTTTGAGCTACCCAGTCTGTGGTACTTTGTTATGGCGGCCCTAGTAAACTAACACATGTGCCATCAGTGATATAGTGATGGTTAATTTCCAATCCATGCTTTTTATCTGATATAAATATAGCTAACATAGTAATTGTCTTTCTATATTTGTATTCTGGACACAAGGAGATATTTTTAGGCTTGGGAAATTGATCTTTATTTCTAGTATTGAATAATATTCCAAATTTATTTTTGGCTGAAGAATAGGTAGATTTTTTTAATTGTTTGAACATATTTATGAATATCCTTTTATTCTATCCATAATTAGATGCCTTTGCACCTTCACAGATAAAGCCTTCACCTTTAGAAACATAATCAAGGTTTTGAATTAGAAACAAACAACAGCTTGGCTGCTTGATACACATTTTGGACACTAAGTGGTTTTCGTTTGTGCTAGAATTTGTTAGAATGAGTGTGGGAGATTAGATTGCATTGACCCTGGCTCTTTTACTTGTGTCATGATTACATTTAGGTGGTTTCCTTGTAAACCTTGAATTCTAATAGAACACCGGTTGCCACTAGTAATGGGAGTGATAATCTGTAAGAATTCTCTGGAAGAGCCCACACGCTGAAGAATAGACACGATAGTAACTTCCATGAAGAAAAGGAGAGAACTGAGAGCACAGAAGGATCACTGGTCCATGACATGATGTGAACAATGAATGATTGTTGAGGACCCCCATCTATTCTTGGGAAAAGGAAATTCCTTGATTATTCCTTGATTATTTTTTGAGATTTGCTTTCTTGAGGAATTCCCTTGTCTGTTGTTTTGTGTGACCCTTGTCTCACCTCAAGCTTCTTCCTGAGCTATTTTTAACCCTTGTCACTTTAGGAGTACGTACTTCTTGCCGCCTGTGTGAATGTTTATCTTGCTTATTGCTTATCTAAGTTTGGAAAAAAATCTACAGATTTTTAAGCTTATGAAAGCATTTTCCCCCTAAATTTTTAAAGATTAAAGGTTTCTTAGATGAGTCTGCTAATTTCTTTCAAAAACTTGATAAACTTCTAGTATACTTACTTCCCTAAATTTTTATGACCAAATGCTCCCCAAAATTCCTTCTTAAAAATAATTTTTTAAAAATTTCTTTTCCTTCTCAACCCATGCATCTCTTTCTCTTTGGAGGTTCCCTTAAGGTTATTGAGACAATAGTGCTGGGTTGGACTTTGCTGTTCAGTGCCTTGCATCAGTTTTCTCTCCTGTTGGCATTCAGAAGCGCCAACTTTTTTTTTTTTAAAGACTTTATTTATTTATTTTTAAAGACTTTATTTTTTTATTTGACAGAGAGAGAGAGATCACAAGTAGGCAGAGAGGTGGGCAGAGGGAGAGGGGGAAGCAGTCTCCCAGCTGAGCAGACAGCCCAATGCGGCCTCAATCCCAGGACCCTGATATCATGACCTGAGCTGAAGGCAGAGGCTTAACCCACTGAGCCACCCAGGCGTCCCCAGAAGTGCACAATTTTTAAATATTAGAGGATTCTAAATCTCTGAGTTCCCCGTTTTAGTCTGTACTTGAAACTAATTCTTGCTTGAGCTACTATCTATCTTAAAATGTACAATTAAAGGCAGCAAATAACAGTATATACACACCAGTATTAAGCAGATGGAAGTTTTTAATGGATCGGGTCTGAGAGTGACACATAGACTTCCACTCATATGCCACTGGCTAGAACTCAATCACATGGCCACACCTAACTTCAAAGGGGATTAGGAAATGTAGTCCAGTCGTATGCCTATGAAGAATAAGGTAATCAATTTTGGTAGACAGTCCATATTCTCTGTCACAAGCAATATGCCACAAATTTATGAAATTTTCAAAATATTTTCTGAACATCTGAGCTTTAGCTTGCATTTTCCCTTTCATCTGAT